TGGCAGTCATGAAGTAAAGAAAACATAATTTTTTTTAGTGTCCACATTTAACAGTTTCTCAAAGAAGCTCTGTATTAAGATAACTCTCTACACTTACTTGTTGACATACGGCAGCCATACACCTATTAGTATTAGCTGTTGCTGGCGCAGGAAAGCTGTAGCACTTGTATGGTAAATTTGTACCAAACATATTGCACAGTGACAAGTGCCAGGTATAATTTGTAGATTAATGAGTCCATATTTCTTCAGATAATGTGAAATGTCTATCTATACACATAAAACATACGTGTTTTTTTAAGATTGTTTGAGCCAACTGCACATTTTAGTACTACACTAACACTGGCAGGTTTTTAGACTATGCATATTCTATTAATGCAACTTATAATATTACACAGAAGCATTATAGTCCCTCACAGAAACAGACCATACAAGCAATTATTGGTATTCCATATCAATCCTGTCCTTTTTGATCTGCAAACATTTTATGTATGCTCAGTGTGAATACTAATCAGTACAATTTCTAATCATAAAAAGGAGATTTAGATTTACACTTGGACAGGAAAATGCAAACGAAGAATTGATATGCTGGGTAAAAATGCTAACAATTAAATACTATTTCAGTGACACTTGCAATACACACTGTAATACAGTTGAATAATATTAATATTATGTTTGTTCCCTCTAATTAAAAAACTAACATTTTTATGTCAACACAAAAGCTTAATAAAAAATACTAAAAGCTTTAAAATGATGGCTGGCCATTTATATATATATATATATATATATATATATATATATATATATATATATATATATATAAAGATAAAATAGGGAACAGGCAGTTATTTAATTTTTATCCTGCATTAGAAAAATAGCAGACAGCCTGACTGGTTGCTATGTACAAATACTCCGCTCTTCTTCTCTCCTCTCCTCTCTAATTCAGCTTCTTTCTGCTTTGCATTACATACAGTGCATTGATGCTAAAGGGCTCATTCACAAAAAATGCAGCCTAATAGAGGAAGGAAGGGTTAGAATATCTATCAAATTTTATTTGCAGTAGCTGTCCCTATTAACTGCTTTCCAACCACCCTATTGCAGAAATACTGCTACAGGGTGGAACGGGTGCACAAAATCACATATATATATATGTGATTTTGTATTTCTGGGTAGAGGGCACGCACCAGCTATGAGTGAGCCCTACCCGCTCCACCGTTCCCGCCCGTGGCTGTCAATCACCGGGTCCCAGCCAGTGATTACTCGCCCTGTGATTTCCTAGGATCTCCGACAGAGAGGAGAACTGTTTTGCTTACTAACAGTTCCCTCCCTGTCAGCTCTGGCACACTGCTTTGGATGGCTGTGCACAGCACAGCCATCCAAACCAGTGTGCTTGCAGTGAAGCACACTTACACCGCCCCTTAGTAACACAGCACAAAGTTAACCCTTTGATTGCCCCTCATGTTAACCCCTTCCTGCCCAGTGCCATTAGTACAGTGTCAGTTCTTTTTTTAGCACTGGTCATTGTATTGGTGTCACTGGGGATGTCAGTGACACCAAATCAGTTCCCCCCAGTGTCAGAATGTCCGCCACAGTCCTACAGTCCCACTATAAGTCACTGATCGCCGCCATTAATAGTAAAAATAAAAAATTTTAAAAATCCCAGTATATATACCACCATTTGTAAACGCTATAACTTTCACATAAACCAATTAATTTACACTTATTGGGATTTTTTTTAGCAAACACATGTAGTAGAATACATTTTGGCCTAAATTTATGATGAAATTTGATTTTTTAATTTTTTTACTGGACATGTTTAGTAGCAAAAAATCAAAAACATAGTTTTTTTTTCCCTCAAAATTGTTGGTCTTTTTTTTATAGCGCAAAAATTAAAAAATGCACAGGCGATCAAATACCACCAAAAGAAAGCTAAATTTGTGGGGAAAAAAGGACGTAAATTTAATTTGGGTGTAGCGCTGCGTGACCGCGCAATTGTCAGCTGAAGTGACGCAGCACTGTAACGCAAAAAATGGCCTGGTCAGGAAGGGGGGTAAGTCCTCAGGAGGGCAAGTGGTTAAGGAAATGTCCCTTCAATCCCATATTGCCATCTCTGTATCTTCACTTTCATAAAGTAGTCTGTATCCGCCCTGGAAAGAATTCTTCTTACTTACTGTGTGGTCCCCAGGAAGAACAGGAAGGAAGAGAAACACTCCCCCCCCTCCCCCCCCCCCCCCCCCCCCCACACACACACTTTCTACAGGGATACAGGCATCATAAAAGAATGTGACAGGTTACAACCCTTCAGCAAGCCCTACAAAATTAGAGATCTTTTTTTAATGCAACTTAAAACTTCCCTGCAAAAGGAGACTTTTAAAACTTATTATGGCAGAATTCCAGCATCCATCGCTCCCATGTGTGTTGGATTTCTGGTCCCCCACAGTGCACTGTGATTAAATCCATCAACCCCTCTAGGACACAGTAGTGATGTGGCGGCCTACAGTGAGGACTCACAGAACAAAGCAAGGAACATGGCATCCGACACACCCAAAAGTATATTGCGTGCTCAAGATTCTTCAACTACCAAAGCTCCGGAAGGCTTTGGGAGCAGATTTCCTACTACTATTGTGACTGCGATATGACTGCTCAACTTCAGCACAACTCAAAGTGACGATGCCTGACTTTTATGAAATTGTATATGACTGTTGCTAATCCGACAGAGCTGTTCGGCATGGGAACACCAGATTTAATACTTTGGGTCGGAGTGTGCCTGAGGATTTCAAAGATCATACAGTTATGTAGTGGCGAGCCACAATTTTAAATTGATTTAGCCAGCATAACCATTTTTTTCAAGAACAACATTGCTGAAAAAAATGTCAAAGTGTACATGTGTTAGCTGGTCAGTGATAATAACATAGCATTTGGCTCATCTGAGCTGTGCTAGCTGGATCTAGTAAATGTCTGTAAGTGAGGCTCCACCCATTTTTCATAGAAATGTATTTCAAAATAACATGATAACGTAAGCAAAAAGACAAACAGATCAATAGCCAGGGGCAAATTTACCACAAGGTAAACAGGGCACTTGCCTAGGGCGGCATTTTTCAGGGGGGGCAGCTCCTTCCCTCAGAAAAAGGGATGAAAGAAGGGACATGCGTGCCATAGGAACCAGGTGGGATCCAAGAGAGTCTGCAGGCTGCTTGATGGTGTATGTAGAGCCTGACTCTCGTTCCCAGGGATGTCCAAAGCTTTGAAGATGAGTGTCTTTCTCTCTATCACTGGGGGGGGGGGGGGTTAGTGGAAGGCTCTCCCGAGTGGGGTGCAGGGGTGTTGTTGGTCAATGTCAGGCTCTCTCCGCGGGAGGGGGAAGGGGGGGGTAGTGTTGGTGTGTGTCTGAGGGAACAGACAATTTTTGTGTTGCCTAGGGCAGCACAAAACCTAAATACACCACTGTCCATAGCTCTGCTCAAGACTGGCCTCTTCTGCACATAGATAACCTGGGTGCAAGCCATCACAGTCCATCTCTACTCTTCAATAAAAAAAGGAAAATATCAGCTGCACTCTAATTAGCTCTTGTTGCAGTAATTTTAATAAGCAGTGCCTTGATTGCATACAGTGATGTCTGCAAACTCAAATCCAGCCTTCCTTCATGTATTTTACCACTCCTGGCTTGCTCACAATGATAGGATGCAGGTGATACTACACACAGTAGTAAGTGGCAAGTGTGTCCTATTTCTGATAGGAGCACATGTTGCGGGCCAGTCCAGGGACCATTAATCAAGATGGCAGACGACAGTGTTAGTGCATGCATGGCACAGCGTGTGGTGATGAAGTTTCTTGTGAACAAAGGCATGAAACCCATGGATATCTACAGAAGACTTCAAGCACAGTACGGTGATGAGACGCACAGCCGCAGTAAGACATTTGAATGGTGTAAACGTCTCAAAGATGGCCGTACATCCATCATTGATGATCCAGACCATGGGGGTGGTTCCCAGCACAAAGCAGTCATTCCTGTGAACATTCATCACATGGAATGTCTGATGCTGGATAATCAACGCATAACCTGTCATGAAATTACAAAAAACACGAATTTCTGTGGGAACGATGACGGCGAAGTGAAGCAGGCTGTCCTAGGATGGTTCAGGAGTACTGACAAATCTTTCTATGCCGAAGCTTTCCAGGCATTTGTTAAACAATGGGATAAGTGGATAACTGTAGCAGGGGAGTATGTTGAAAAATAAATGCAGTTTCCATTCCTTTTATTATTTTATTATAAAAACAATAAACCGTTTTCTCACGAGCAATAAATCTGTTATAATGAACTAAAAATAAATTAAAAGCAGTTCACACTAACCATGTACTCATATCATGTGCATCAATTCAGAAAATATACATACAGTGCAGCGCTTCCCCCAAAATGAATCCAAACCCAAATACCAATCAAAATCTGTTTTCAGTGGAGGATAACGTTTGCATGAAGATAAATAGTTTTGAAACTTATTTAACCACCTCCTTCCCGCCATATAAGGTAATGATGGGTGGGTGGCGGTTCTCTCCTTCTGGGAGGACGTCATATGACATCCTCCCACTCTAACTACGCGCCCTTGGGGGCGTGCGGGGAGCGGTGGTGCGCTGTGTCCCTGCCGGTTATCAGCAGTCCTCTCCTCCCACTGAGAGCTCGTGAGGAGAGGAGAGCCAGTAATCGGCATTCCTCAGAGGGGACATCTACACTGACCATCATGGGCACTGATGATCAATACCCTGATGATCAGTCTAGCCCCATCAGTGTCACCTATCAGTGCCCATCAATGCCACCTGTAAGTGCTTTCAATGCCACATACCAGTGTCCATCAGTGCACATCAATGCGATATATCAGTGCCCATCAGTGCACATCAATGCCACATATATCAGTGCCATCATGCCACACATAGATGCTTTTCAGTGCCACCTATCAGTGCCAGTCAGTTTCGCCTATCAGTGCCACCTATCAGTGACAGTCAGTGCCGCCTATCAGTGCCCATCAGTGCCACCTGTCAGTGCAGCCTAACAGTTCTAATCAGTGCTGCCAAACAAACAGTTCTAATCAGTGCAAACTATCAGTGCCGCTTATCAGTGCCCAGCAGTGATGCCTGTCAATGCCCACAAGTGATGCCTGTCCATGGCCATCAGTGTCACCTATCAGTGCCTCCTCATTAGTGCCGCCTATCAGTGCCCATCAGTACCGCCTATCAGTGCCCATCACTGCAGCCTCATTAGTGCACATCAGTGAAGGAGAAAAATTACTTATTTACAAAATTTTATAACAGAAACTAGGAAAAAACTTTTTTTTTCAACATTTTCAGTCTTTTTTAGTTTGTTTAGCAAAAAATAAAAACCCCAGTGCTGATTCAATACCACCAAAAGAAAGTTCTATCTGTCTCAAAAAAAAATTATAAAAATGTTGTATGGGTACAGTGTCGCATGATTGCGCAATTGTCATTCAAAGTGCGACAACGCTGAAAGCTGAAAATTGGCCTGGGCAGATAGGGGGTAAAAGTTCCCGGTATATAAGTGGCCACTCACATTCCAAAGGTGCTAAATTGCACCAGATATTATGCACATATACAATTATGTTTATCCAATATGCAGGGCTACCTTCCATTCATCTCTGTGACAGTATATCAGTGTGTTACCAGCGTCGTGACGTCATCAAGCCCCTCTCCAATGCATTGCTCCACAGGGTCACCTGGCTTCCTCAGGGGGATATGATATGGTGATCACTGGAGGAAGAATCCACACCCAGGACACATTAACAGTGTCATGTCCATTCCTTGGAACACATGCGTTTTTTGACCTGACATGATGTAGGTCAAAAACTCCAGGTGAGGACGCATCTGGTGGCTGTTTTTGGTGGAGGATAACGTTTGCATGAAGATAAAAAGTTTTGAAACCTATTTAAGTTGAAGGAATCATCATTGAGAGACTTTTTTCATTTAATGCATGGTCACTTGCATTTTTACATGTTCACTATAGATTCTGATTGGTACTTGGGTTTGGATTCATGTTGGGGGAACGCTTCACTGTATGTATATAGTTCTTTTATTGTATAAACTCATAAGTCCCGGTTTGACTTGAACGCCCCTCGTATATATATTTTATAGCATACAGTATATAGTATATAATATAGTATATAGCATTATTTATTTCCTTTGTTATTTCTTGTTTTGTATTTAAGATTTTACTTTAAAGTTTACTAGCGATACACTGTATAAGTGTAGAGAAGACACTATTTACATTGGTATAAATGGCATGCCTTCATTACAAGCACAAAGGTCAATTAACCCAGGCCTTACATATGTGCCCTGCTCTTTGACCTCATTAATTAGCTGTAATTTTAGTTTATATGATAAAATCAGCACAACATTCCAAAGCATACACATTATCCATCTTCATATTTTAAGCCAACTTTTCATCACTAACGACACAAGTGTAAATTAGATTCATTAATGACAGAAGCAGGAAACAGCGTAATTATTGCAGCAGGGAACAGCAATTTGTATTTCCAGATCCATTTCAAACATATCCTGCTGTATAAAGGAGGTGCAGAATAGTAAGCTGATTCGATTGAGTGCTTCTTAACATTCAGTTGCTATTGTGTTGTGATTTAATAAGCAGCGTGTGTTTTTTAAACTTCTTTTTAAAAGTATTTAATAAAAAACAACGGAGGTCAGAGTCTCAAAGCAAGCATATCGCAGTCCTCAGGCACTCATTTAGAAGCCTATCAGTACTGCATGGCAGATGAAATGTTCCTTCAGCCTGTTTCCATGAGCCATCAACTGCGAGAATCTGACAGGTATCAAGATGCTGCTAGCAAGCAAGGTGCAGCGACTCATTAGGAAAAAAGTATTTGTTTAGAAATCTGCATATGGGTTATACGCATCCCATGTCTCTTTGAGTGACTACTGGAATGTTTAAAATGGTTACATTTCCCAGTCTTTTTAATTAACAAATGTCAATTGCTACATTTTCTCAGACTGTGCATAGAGTTGCTTTAACACGTGTATTACATTTTGCCCTCTTGTGGAGGTGGATTGCAGACTTTGTTTTTAGTTTCTATTTGTTTAATGTTCTGTAAGAAAAAAAATCTTAGATTGTAAGCTCCAAGGAGCAGGGTCCTCCTATCCCTCTTGTATTGAACTGTATTGTTGCTGTATTGTCTCCCGTTATATTGTAAAGTGCTGAGCAAACTGTTGGTGCTATATAAATCCTGTATAATAATAATATATATATATATATATATATATATATCTTAGATTGTAAGCTCCAAGGAGCAGGGCCCTCCTAACCCTCTTGTATTGAACTGTATTGTTGCTGTATTATCTCCCGTTATATTGTAAAGCATTGAGAAAACTGTTGGTGCTATATATATCCTGTATAATAATAATAATAATATATATATATATCTTAGATTGTAAGCTCCAAGGAGCAGGGTCCTCCTTTCCCTCTTGTATTGAACTGTATTGTTGCTGTATTGTCTCCCGTTATATTGTAAATGCTGAGCAAACCGTTGGAGCTATATAAATCCTGTATAATAATAATAATCTGCAATTTCATTTAAAGTGTTACTAAACCCACAACAGTAAAATCAGTGTGTATATACAGTAAAGCATTCTCACTACGGAACCTAAGGGGTTAACCCTCTGCATTGTGTAAAAATGCTGTTTGATCCTGATGTCTCTCATCCTCCCCTTCTTCCAGTGTCCCCCTCTTATCTCCTGATAAGACATATCGTGTGGAGCCACTCTGCACATGCTCAATTTGGTGTGTATTGCTAGAGAGGTTATTTCTTTTTCTTGGGAGAGTGCATGTGATTAGCACAAGGCCAATCAGCACGGTATAGACAGAGGTCAGGGGTTCTGCATCCTTCTAGAGCAGAAAAAAACTCCTCCTACAAGCTTTAACCAGTGCTTGGCTGGACACTGATAGAAGTCACAAGACTGCTCTAACTGCTGATGAGAAAAGGTATTTAGCAGTTTATATTTACTAAAATAATTGCATTTCTATGTTCTGTGTACTGTGGGAGACCGGATATAGTGAATGCAGGGTTTAGCAACACTTTAACACCTCTCCAAACCTGCAGTTTATAAAAAAGCATGAGCAAATGAATGCTAAAAATCCTGCGCTGGATGATGAGCGCCACAATGTCAGTAAACCCACATGGAGTACTTTTTGGGAATGGAAGCCTTGCTCCCCCCGACGGGCCAGGGAAATCCAAACAAGCTGTGTGCAAAGAAACAAACAGAGGGCGCACCTAGTGCATTACCTTCTAAAAATAAGATTTATTGAATAAAAAGTAGTATACTCACAAAAGAATAAAATCACTTGGCTCTGAGGAAGAGGTTCTGCCTTGAAACGTGTCAGCCATTTGGAGACCTACAGTCCCCCAACATCCACCATCTGGGGAGATTGGACCATGCTGTTTTTTTTGTGACGTGCCTTTGATTTTATTCTTTTTATTCAATAAATCTCATTTTTAGAAGGTAATGCACTAGGCCTGTGTGCCCTTTGTTTGTTTCTTTGCATTTAGCAGTTTATATTCGCGCTATATAACTCCTGTATAATAATAATAATATTTACTACAATAATTGCATTTCCATGTTCTGTGCGCTGTGGGAGACCAGACAGAGTGAATGCAGGGTCCTGGGTTTAGTAACACTTTAAGTCTTTAAGATTTCTTGACACATGTCATTGAACACGGTTTAACTAATGTTGGGGTATTGATTGTCACTGCAAATGATTTAATTGTTCCAATCTGCCTCTTTTTAAAATGGAAAATGAGAGATGAAATGCCTCTTTGTTGCAAGAGAAAATTATAGTAAAGAAAGCTTGGCCTCCATTAGTTATTCACAGCCTATATTAGAACAAAACAAAATGCTTTATTTATTTTCTTTGTCTGGTTACCACACTTGCTCCTTCTTTCTGTGACCTAGTATTTTATCCCTGAATCGAATCCTGTAAAAGTAAATGTCATTGTACCATTAGTTCACTGGTTCCATTGATACGGTCTCTCTGTGAACTTTTGCTTTCATCATGAGAGGGAAGTTGCACAGCATATGCTCATGTAACAAAAGGCTGCTGTTCCTTTTAGAAGCTCTGTAATCACCTATTTATCTTACTTAACTGCTTCCCGAGAGTCCTATAGCAGATATACTGCTACAGGGCGGCATGGGTGAGCAAAATCATATATATATATATATATATATATACATACGTGATTTTGCATTTCTAGGTAGGGGGGCGTGCGCGCCCTACCCACGCCACCATTCATGTCTACGGTTCTCAATCACCGGGTCCCCGGCCGGTGACAACTTGCCAGTGCCCGGTGATTGCCGAGCATCTCCGACGGGGAGAACTGTTTCTAAACAAAACAGTTCTCCTCCCTGTCAGCTTGTGCACACTTCTTTGGATGGCTGTGCACACAACACACAGTTAACCCTTTGATCACCCCTCATGTTAACCCCTTTCCACTCAGTGCCATTAGTACAGTGTCAGTGCTTTTTTTAGCACTGATCACTGTATTGGTGTCACTGGGGTTGTCAGTGACACCAAGTCAGTTTTCTCCCAGTGTCAAAATGCCTGCCCCAGTCTCTGCTGTAAGTTGCTGATCACCACCATTACTAGTAAAAATAAAACATAAAAAAAAAATCCCAGTATATATACTGCCATTTGTAAACGCTATAACTTTCATGTAAACCAATTAATTTACATGTATTGGGATTTTTTTTTAGCAAAGACATGTCGCAGAAAACATTTTGGCCTAAATTTATGACGAATTTGATTTTTTAAATTTTTTTTACTGGAAATGTTTAATAGCAAAAAGTCAAAAACATTTTTTTTTTTTCAAAATTGTCAGACTTTTTTTTATAGCGCAAAAAATACACGCATGGGCGATCAAATGCCACAATTCGTGGGGAAAAAAGGATGTAAATTTCATTTGGGTGCAGCTTTGCATGACCACGCAACTGTCAGTTAAAGTAACGCAGAACCGTAACGCAAAAAATGGCCTGGTAAGGAAATCTAAATCCTCCGAGTGCTGGCGGGGAATCAGCGGCCTGGGACCCGGTGATTGACAACCAAAGCCGCCAATGGTGGCATGGATAGGGCGCGCATGCGACTCGCGCTCACCCCCCACCCAGAAATGCAAAATCCCCTATATATACGGGATTTAGCACACCCCTGCCGACCTGTAGCAGTATTTCTGCTGTAGGGCGGCGGGAAAACGGTTAACCAAAGTCTTTTTGCAGGTTTAAATTGTGTGTGTGTGTATGTGGGGGCACAACAAAAAAAGAGGGGAGTGTTTGTTGCAAGGACAGCCAGACACATGCAGTAACAATAATCTGCAGGAGGCT